ACTTACCCGAGTTTGGTGAAAGAATTCTACTGTCACATGACTGTGACTAAGGATGGTGGAAAGTTGGAGGTTACTTCTAAAGTGAGAGGTGTGAAAATTGTTTTGACTGAGAAGAGGCTGGCTCAGCTTTTGAGCCTGACCACTACGGGAGTCTCGCAGTATAGTGGTGACTCCTGGATAGGGACGGATAACATGGGTTATCGAGACTACTTGAGTTATATCTTGGGACGAACTAGTGGTTTTACCCAGGCTACGAGGCCGGAAAGAAAATGGTTGACTGCCGAACAAAGGATCTTAGTTATACTTGTTTCTGACTATTTGTTGCCTAATAACAACAAGAGTCGTCTGTTGGGAAAGTTGGAGTGCACGTTTGCCTTTTGTTTGAAGAATATGGTGAAGTTCAATTTGCATGCTTTAATGTTGCACCATATGGTCTTTTTCTGAGATCATAACCGTAAGAGCCTGCCGTATGGTATGGTTTTGAGCTGGATCTTCGCCAGGAAAGGAGTAAGTGTTGACGGTTGTGTACCTAAGCCAGTGGGTAAAATGGTGTTGGATGCCACAAACCTCCAGAGTTGCAACCTATTTCAGATTGATGACAGGGAGTACATCACACTCGAAGAGGTCGCAAGGAAAGCCCCCGCTGAGAGAAACGCGTTGGTTGCTGAGCTTGAGATCCCCGTTGGGAAGTTGAACTTCGTAGTTCAAAGTTTGGGAGGAGATGCGGGAAATGAAGATGAAGAGGACCAGGAAGACGAAGTAGGTGTAGAAGAAGCTGCAGAAGCTGAAGAGAGCAACCCTGAAAGTGAAGAAAACCTGAGAAGGAGGGAAGCTAGAACCAAGAGGGAATTGACGCCATGACACACGAGGAGCGTGTAGTCACCCTTCTTCGCTAGCAGAACAGAATGATAGAGGAAGACTTCGCATACATGAAGACGCAGTTTGTCGTGGTCAACCAGAGGTTGGACCAGCTAGAGGCCGGTTCTAGCCAAGGAAGAGCCGATGAAGATTCAGACGAAGACACCGAGGAGTCAGAGAGCGAGTCCTTCTTGTTCGAACTTGTGGTAAACTCGTCTTCCTTCCCTCGTTTGTTGTTACCGTTGTGTTGTTGCCACCTGTTGGTTGTGTTTTGTTGTTTGCCTCGTGTTATCTTTCTTGCTTGTTAGTTGTTGATGGAGTAGTTAGTTTTGTGGGTTGTTTTTCTAGAATCTAGTTGTTTGGAACTCTAGTGTTGTTTAGAAGGTTTTTGGTTGTCGTCTTTTGGCCTTAGTGTTTGTTGTGCTCAAGGAACTTCGTTGGTAATTTCTTTAAACCTTGCAATGCCATGACTTCTTGACAATTTTATACCTTCTGAATTCTTGAAGTTTTGGTCAAATGATGCTCTTGTTTTCCTTCGTCACATTATTGATTCATGTTGCCCGTTTTGTTCGAATTCGTCGTACACAAGCTTCGGGGACGAAGCTTCTTTTTATGGGGAGAGGATGTGACACCCCGTAAATCCAAACTCTAGATAAGGATTAATTATCTAATTAATCCTAGTTTTATTGGTAATTTATTCCTAAAATCCTGAAAAATCAATAGTCGGAGGACTAGAAATTGACAAGTCAATCCAAGTCAAAGAGTTGTACTCTACGCCTTATGAGTTGTTCCCTTGTCTCCTTATTCTTCCAACTTTAGTAAGGGCAAAGAAGTCTTTCTACCTAAAGTTTGTGCCCCAAGCTAACCTAGCATCATCCTTTCATTTCATCCACCAACACCCTAAACACAAAACCCACTACTACAGAATTCACATACAACGTCGGGTCTTTAATGTCAGCTATATAAATAGCCGACGTTAAAACATTTAATAGTTTATAACGTCGGCTATTTAGTAATAGCCAACGTTATAAAGTAAACATAAAAATATAAAAGAAATACGTAAGCTACGACGTTGGCTATACTAATAGCCGACGTTGTAGCTCGTTTATTATTTTTTTTTTCTAAATTATTTATATATAACGTCGGCTAAATCCCTTTAGCCGACGTTATAAAAAAATAAAAAATAAATAAATATATCTAATACAACGTCGGCTGTCTATCTAGCCGACGTTGTATACTTTTAATTATTTTTTTTTATTTTTTTTCTTTATAACATTAAATCTCCTCAGCTCAGACGACGTACGCGGTACTCCATCTCCTCCAATCTCTTCGATCTGCTCCCCTCTCCTCCATCTCCTCCATCTCTTCTTCCCCGATCTGAGACCACCACTGCCGACGCCGCTGCAACCCGCCGCCGTCGTCCCCGACGCACAGTCCATCCCCGCCGACGTCGTCTCCGCGCCACCGCTGCAGCTTCATTCCTCCGCCGCCGCCGCAACTGCAACCCCCCGCCGTCGCCGCAACTGCAACCCCCTGCCGCCGCCGCTTCAACCTCTCCTCCCCGCGGCCGCAGACCGGCAGCCTCCCTCCGCCGCTACACCATCGTCGACGGAGGCATCGACGGACTGCGGTAAGTTTTATATATATATATTGTTAATTTTTAATTATTATTAATTAATTTAAAATTTTATTAAATTGATTTGCAATTTAGCGTTTGTTTGTATATATTTGTAAGTTTTATTGATTAATTTCGAATTTTAGTCAATTTATTTGCATTTTAGAGTTTATTTGTATATATTTGTAATTTTTATTGATTAATTTCGAATTTTAGTCAATTTATTTGCATTTTAGAGTTTATTTGTATATATTTGTAATTATTATTTCTTAATTTCGATTTTTAGTCCATTTATTTGCATTTTAGGGTTTATTTGTATATATTTAAAAATACTAATTGCATGATTTTTTATAATGTTGGTATATATAAAACTTGTAACTCAAATATTGTGATGGTTAAAACCAAATTTAATATTTACTCTTTTATTTCTTTGAGTGTCAATAAAATTAAATAATTTATTATTCAACAAAATATATAACTTATATATTTGATCAATGTTGCAAAAATCGCGCCTAGGCGCCATTGCGCCGCCGCGAAGAAGGCCGAAATCGGCCATCTCCGCGGCCGGCCGCCTAGCCGGCTGAACCGGTGCTTTTAATTTTTAATTTTTTTTTTTTGAAAATATCGGAAAACTTTCGGAAGGCATAACTTTTGACTCGGTTGTTCGATTTGGACAATTTTTTTTCACTATTTTCCACACACAGTTACAATAGTGAATAAGTGCTACACAGGTACTTCTTCCGGATGTCTTGCACACAGCTACACCCAACTCCGAGTGTCTCGCACACAGCTACACTCAACTCCGAGTATTTCGCACACAGCTATACTCAACACCAACTAAGTGTTTTGCACACAGCTACACTTAGCAACTACGAGTGTTTTGCACACAGTTACACTCACTAGAGTATTTTGCACACAGCTATACTCTTTTTACAATTACAAATACAAAGGGTAATTGTATCTCTCTCCAACTATTTTTGAGACTATTCAGACTAAGTCTCTAATGAATATTTGAGCACTTGCACTTTTTGAATTTTGCACTTGTTTATCCGTGTGTATGCACCTCTATCTCTTGTCTATCTTGTTCTCTTGTCTTCAAGTCTTCATGGATTTTTATAGGCAATCAAATATATCCGTTGGAGTGGGATAATTTGATATTTGAATTTTGAATCTTCATAGCCTGATATTGTTGACAATAGTAGATCTTCAATTTTGATTTGATTGTCAACTTGCCTGACAAAATAATATTTTATCTCAACTTAATTTTCAAGTTGTTTCTTAAAATATTATTTTTGTTGTCAATTTGAATTTCCAACGAATCTTTGAAATAAATTCTTCTGATAAAATTTATTTCTAGGATAAGTTTTTATATTCATGTCTTCATAAATCTTTTTCCCGTTCTGATCATATCATTAGGCAATTTTGGATTCTTGTGACATGTGGGCTGATTCGAAATAAATTCCTTCGAATTTATCCACTTTCAGATCATCTTGCTTCTTTGCCACATTGTGCTCCTTTGACTTAGGCACTTCGTGCTTGTTTGACTTGAACATTGTGCTTTTCTGATTTGGTCACATTGTGCTCCTGTGGACACATCGTGCTTGTTTACATTGTGCTCCTTTCAGACATCGTGCTCTTTTTAGGCATCGTGCTCCTTTCGGACATTGTGCTCCTTGGGCACATCGTGCTCCTTAAGAACATTGTGCTTGTCCGAATTCTTGACTTGTAAAAAATAAATCTTTGGGGGGAATCAATCTCAGGTATGATCATTTTAAGTAAGGATTTCTACCATTTCACCGTTAGGCTCATCCGATTATTTGTTGCAACGCCATTCTTTTATGCTTCTTTCTCGGATGAATACTTGTAGGACCAAAATTAATTTCCCAAATTAATTTTGTTCTTCATATGGTAGATTTCCTTTGACTCGATATTCTGGTTTATGATGCTTGTACTAAAAGACCTAAAATCTAAGGGGATCTAAAGTACATTTGGCTCATCAAAACTTACAAAAAAATATTCCTATCAGTGGTTCACGGGTGGAAGGAAGGAAGAAGGAGAAGGGTTTGGAAAATTTTGGGGAAATTGGGAGGAAGAAGGTTTTAATTTGGGGATTTTTTAGTAAAGTGAAAAAGATAGGTTAAATGGAATTTAAATGGAATAAAGTTTAAGAAACACAATTGGTTTAAGTGGTTCAAAGGTTGGGTTGGTAACTTGTACACTAAGGTTTGAAACTAGGTGGTTACAAATTAAAACTTTCTTAGGCTTTTTAGGCCACAAAAGAAGGGATTTTTAGGATTTTGTCTAATATAAATTCGAGGGTACTAATTAAACTTAGACGACCCAAAAAGAAAAAGGTTGAGTTAAAAGAGCATATACGAGGCTACGGAATTAACACAAGCACGATCCACTCAGAAATAAACAATTATCTCACAAAAGAAACTCACTTAAAAAGCCAAAAAGGATCACATACCAAAGCCAAAAAGGATCACATACCAAGGAAATAAGGCGACAAAGGAAAGGCACACTCTCAAGATAAAGATAGACTTATAAAAGGGTTACCTGCCATCTCTTCTTCAACCAACCCCTCCGACTCAGCTTGGGACCGACCCATCACAAACACTCGACCCGAAGGTCTAGCTTCAGCTGCACCTCGGCTTGAACTCCCTCTCGAAGTTCCACCGGATCCCGAGCTAGGTGGCAAGGCTCTTTGATTAGCTTGTATAGGGCATGTGAAAGCCTTGTGACCTCTTTCCCCGCACTTGAAACATCGAAGTGCTTGTCCTTGGCAATCTTTTCCCACATGTTCCTTTCCAAATCTTCTACATGCAAAGGTCTTAGCTTGTTCTCCAGACTCTACTCGGGTTGATCCTTGAGGTGGGGAAGGTGCGGTTCTGGCTCGGAAGTCCTGTCTCGGCTTCTTGAAGTTGTGGGGTCCACCGCTTTCGTTCCTCTTCTTAGCGAGTTCATACAACCCTCGCTGCAACTGTTGTACCCGGTATAAGTTAGCAGCACTCAGATAAGCCTCCTTCAAGGTCCTTGGCTTGCTCACGGTCAACACCTTTTGAGCCTCATAGTTGAGTCCAGTCACGAACTTCTCCACCTTCGCAAGCTCGGTGGGGACTAGCATCCTAGCGAAACGAGCGAGCTCCAAGAATCGCTTGTGGTACTCCACCACAGATGATGAACCCTGCTGGAGGTGTAGAAACTCCTCGTACATAGCAGCTCGGACATGTGACGGATAAAACTGCTCTCTCATCCGGTCCTTTAAAGCTGTCCAGTCGAAGTCGGGCTCCTCTTGGCATGCGGGTCCCTCGTGCACCCACCAAAGATCAGCTTCATGACTGAAGTAGAAAGATGCTAACTCCACTCTGCGCTCTTCAGGGCACCCTAAGACGGAGAAGATCTTTTCGAAGGTTTGGATCCATTCCTCGAGTATGACCGAGTCCTCCTCTCCAGCGAACGTAGTGGGTCTATGGCCCGAGACTAGACGTCCCACCTCCCGGTGTCCGGCAGGCTGTGGCGGCGGGGCAGGATGGTTGTTGTGCAGAAGAGCTTTATTCAAGGTTTGCATGGTCTGCGTGAGATGTTGCAAGTTCTGAGCCAGCTGCTCGTTGGTTGGTGTCTCAGGTGTACGAGCGTGTTGACGAGGTCGAGCCATGACGATACTTCTACAATAACAAAACGATTACGGTAGCCACAAGCAAACAACGCACCCTTACCTGGCGATAACTAAAAGAACACTAAGATAAGTACAAACAACAAAGAAAACAGAACAAACGATAAACAACACACAGCTCACCACGCGTCCTAACAGTCCTAAGTCCTTAACAGTTAGATACTTAAAGTCACCTTAGGGTCTCAACCCACACTTACCTCTTAAAAGTCTAGACTCTAACATCCTAGGCTTAAACCTAGGCTATGATATCAACTGTAACACCCCCGATTTTCGCAACTTTTTAAAACTTAAAACCATAAAGCAAGGTAACTAACAGGTAGCATTAAACTTAAACAACAGCGAAAGACTTTAATTAAAAAACGGGAAGTGCTATGCCACATCCACATCGAAGAGTGCTGCGTTGGTGGCTGACCAACAACCCTCAACATCTTCCAGGTCTAACTCTAACCCTAATGACTTTTTAATTGATGAACAATTTGCCATGTTTTTCAGGAAATTCAAGAGATTCATGAGGAACAACATTCAAAGTCTATCCACACCATTTTCCTCAAACCGGAGACACTTTGAGAGGTCAAGTGCCTCGAAGAGTAAAGACTCCGAGGAGTTGCAGATCTTGTGCTACAACTACTAAGAACTAGGACACTACAAGGTGGACTGTCCGATCCCTATCCAGTTGTCTGGAAACATCAAGAACAACCAAGGAGCTTGAGCAATCAGAACGATTCGAGGAATGCTCTAGGAAAGTCAAGTGGTAGAGGCTCACACAACCACTCGAAGAGTCACTCGAAAGGTGACGGGAGGAGAAAGGAATTAGTGACTAAAGAGTCTGCTGAGAAGGAAATCAACGATTTGTGCTCCTTTAGTTCCAGTTCAAAGAGAGAAAGCTTAGGAGATGAGAAGGGACTCATTTGCCTCCTCAGCCAACATGAATCTGATAAAGAACTTTGCTTAATGGCTAAGGATGATGTGGTAACTTCTCAAACCTCAACTGGGAGTCAGATTCTAGCTTCAATGAAGATCCTATGGATTCGGTTTTTAAACTGATAAAGGACTTCAAAAACGTTAAGAGCACTCAGTCTATACTAAAAGAAGAGAATACTCGACTATTGGCCAAACACGAATCTTACAAGAGCATTGTGCTCAAGAATTCTGAAATGATAAGCACGATTAACCAGTTTGTGAAGCAAGTTTTCTTACTCAAAGAGGAGTGCAAAGCAAGAGAAGTTTGAGAGCACAAATTGCGTGAGGTCATAGCTACTTTTACCAATTCATCCAAAATAATGGATCAAATGGTAGGTGAGCAAAGGCCAATTAGTGACAAAGCTGGACTTGGTTTTGATCCATGCTCTTAAACACATTTAAAACTAACCAAACCATCAAATCCTTCAACAGTGGTGGTTTAAAATCTGTATTTGTTAAAGGTCAAAGCTTGCTGCATGAAGTAACAACACGATTGATAGGTTTGAAAGAGGTTTTGAGTTGTTTACCAAGTTGACAAGCATCACATAAATGAGTTTTAGAAAATTTAAGATTTGGCAAACCAATAACAAGATCTTTTTTTTATGAAAAGTTTGAAATAAGATCAAAGCTAGGATGCAGTAACCTTCTATACCAAAGAAAGGAATCGCCATGCATCATAGAAAGACATTTCACATTGTAGTTGTTAGTGTTTTAAGTCATAAACCCCAACATGTAATTGGCAATATTATTATGGCAAATTATATAGGCTGTAGTATAGAGTCCATCAGCGTTTGAAGATTGAAGGTCGGGTTGAACAGGTACTGCGGTAGAGTGTCTCAGTTTAATACCCGTTGGAGATTATTTAATGAGAGCGCCTATGGGCTAGCAGAGGCAGTTACTTCAAGAGGTGTGTTTACAAGAAAGCCCCTCTATCAAATAAAACACCTCAAGTGTATGACCGTAATCTTGGTGATATGCAATTCAAGTGGATGATTACGTGTCTTCCCAATCTGAATCAGAGATACATATATTCGAGAGATGATTCAAGAAACGTTACACAAGTTAATACACCATATCATGAATCACTAACAAGCTCTCCCATATCACTAAGTTTCATCTCTAATCCTATATCTTCTCAAGAAAAAAGTTCTGGTGATTTGTGAAGATGAACTTGAAAAGAAACTTCTGTGCTTAAATAGTGGACGCAAGATCACTCAGCTGTGGAAACAGTGTGGGAGGCGTCATTGAAGCAGACTGCAATAGATTAGCTCTCCATTGATGGGATTCTTTGGACATCTGGTTGCATGGCTTTTCGACTTCAACAATCCACTATTCCATTGTAGACTGGGTACTAACCGAGTCTAGGGCACTTTGGGTGAGAACGTTTTTCTCTACCTTTGTCTAATTGGAATTCGGGAATAGTGGATTGGACGCATCAGTGATCGTCCCCCAGACGTAGATACACATTGTATTGAACTGTGTAACCAAATCAATGTGTTGATTTACTTTATGCCTTTAGTTTCTGCACCTTTATCATATATGTTTGACTATCTGATTGATTGTCCGATTATATATCTGTTACATATCTGCGTACTGTTTGATATATAAAAAAGTAGATTGGCTACATAGATTATCAAAATACGCAAAATTACATGTGGTATCAGAGCTTTTAAGTCTACATAGTGACTTGATCCGTAAGGGAAAGCTTTTTGTGGTATTCTTGATAATTTGTTTGATAGGTTATCTATTTTAGGTGTCTATTCTTCTATTTGTCTCTGTGTGCTCGCTGACTGTCTGTTTGTAACAGGCTGGATGCTAATATGAAACCTCCAGAATTGGATGGTCACAATTATTCATTCTGGAAAGCTCGTATGGAAATCTATCTCCAAGCACAAGGAATAAGGGTTTATCGTACTTTAATCACTGTGTGTGCTCGCTGGCTGTCTGTTTGTAACAAGGAGTAGTATTTTGAATGTTGTTGCTACTGTTGCCTTGAAGGCTGAAGCCGTTGCTGTGTTTTTATCCCTTCTGGCCCTGTCTGGGCGTTAAGTTGAAAATCTTTATTTTGTTTAGGTTCTATAATTTGATTAATTTCCAGCACGACATGTGTTATGTTGGTCCTTTAAAAGTTTGTAATATGATAACATTTTGTCTCTACTTTAAGTTACTGCTGCCTGTTTTTGGCCTATCTTTGGATTATTGTGTCTTTAAATCTTGTATCTCATTTGTTGAGTTGTTTTGCCAAATAATAGTCAAATGGGGAGTTTGTTAGAGTTTTGAGTCATAAACCCCAACATGTAATTTGCAATATTATTATGGCAAATTATATAGGTCGTAGTTTAGAGTCAATCAGCGTTTGAAGATTGAACAGGTACTGCGATAGAGTGTCTCAGTTTAATACCCGTTAGAGATCATTTAATGAGAGCGCCTATGGGCTGGCAGAGGCAGTTAATTCAAGAGGTGTGTTTACAAGAAAGCCCCTTTATCAGATAAAACACCTCAAGGGTATAACCGTAATCTTGATGATATGCAATTCAAGTGGATGATTACGTGTCTTCCCAATCTGAATCAGAGATACATATATTCAGGAGATGATTCAAGAAGCATTACACAAGTTAATACACCATATCTTGAATCACTAACAAGCTCTCCTAGATCACTAAGTTTCATCTCTGATCCTATCTCTTCTCAAGACAAAAGTTCTGGTGATTTTTGAAGATGAACTTGAGAAGAAACTTATGTGCTTAAATAGTGGACGCAAGATCACTCAGCTGTGGAAACAGTGTTGGAGGCATCATTGAAGCGGACTGCAATAGATTAGCTCTACATTGAAGGGATTCTTTGGACATCTGGTTGCATGACTTTCCGACTTCAACAATCCACTATTCCATTGTAGACATCTGGACACTTTGGGTGAGATCGTTTTTCTCTACTTTTGTACAATTGGAATTCGGAGATAGTGGACTGGACGCATCAGTGATCGTCCCCCCAGACGTAGATACACATTGTATCGAACTGGGTAACCAAATCAATGTATTGATTTACTTTCTGCCTTTAGTTTCTGCACCTTTATCATATCTGTTTGACTATCTGATTGATTGTCCGAATATATATCTGTTGCATATCTGCATATTGTTTTATAGATAAGAAAGTAGATCGGCTACAGTAGATTATCAAAATTACAATAACATATAAGACCAACAAATTCAAACTTATACAAATTTCCTTCTCTATGGGCAACAAATAGAACGTTATCTCTACCTTTCTCATAAAAAGTGCAAGAATTAGAAGTAAAAATTACCTTGTGACCCTCATCACACATTTGACTAATACTAAGCAAGTTTTAATGTAAACCTTCAACAAGGAGCACATTTATAATAGCAATAGATTTTTTTGAGTGAATTCCATTTTTGGTCCTATTGTTATATGAGTGTTTCCAATTTTAGTCCACCTTAATTTGTTTTGCCACTTTATGACCACTATTATTGAATGTGTTCCACTTTTAGTCCACCGTTAATATTTTCATCAAGAGGCCGTGTAATCTAGGGGTATTTTGATTTTTCTTCTCATCCAAGACTATGTTTGACTAAAAGAAATGAGAACATTAAACCTAAAACCTAAGAAACCTCGCCGGCCCACGTTGGAACGAACGAAAAGATGTAGCTTTGGCTTCCCATTCTCGTTGTTCGAAGAGCCATCTTCGAATATCGGAGAAGGAGGACGAAGCGTCTGGATTAGAAGAGAAGAGACAACCATAAAAAGACTAAAATACCCCTGAATTATACGGCCTCTTGACGGAAATATTAACGGTGGACTAAAAGTGGAACACATTCAATAACAGTGGCTGTAAAGTGGCAAAAAAAATTAAGGTGGACTAAAATTGGAAACGCCCCTATAACAATAGGACCAAAAATAGAATTCACTCGATTTTTTTATACCTATTTTACCTTTACCAACGATTTTCTTTTTAGTTTTGTCTCCAAGTGTAACTTTACCTTCATCTTTGGGCTTCATTTTTAAAA